TCTCTCTCCCTTTCTCTTGATCGATGCGCGACTCGTTTATTCGATGACCTGGAATCAAGGCGAACGAGATTTCCTGTCCCGTGGAGACTTTTAATTACCATGCATGGCCCCCGAGTCTTTGACCGTTTCGCGCTGCTGATTATGCAGCCCGTTCATGACGATTCCCGACAATCTATGCTCGAACAACCCACTCGCGACGAACGCGGATCGATGCGAATGCATTTTTACAGAGGAAACATGATTTGATTGGACCGACAGCGTGACTGTACGAAAAAAAGTTCCGATTTTGAGCGCTTGGAGAGCGATGTTCGAGCTGCCGCTATATGATTTCAAATAACATGTTATTTTATTCCATAGTCATTTTCATGTCTGCGATACCTTCTGAAATAACATTATTCGAAGTATTATTTTTTAAATATAATTATGAAGTTAAATTTAATGTTTGGGGCTGGTTTACACCTTTTTGGTTCAAACAATTCGTTGCGAAGATTTCATCGAATAAAATCTTTTCGTTCGTTATTATTTTGAGCATTATTTGTTTCGGCCAATTTGCAAAACGAAATAATTTATTATTTGAAACTGCTTTACCTCGAATGAATCAATATTGCTTTTATATCGGAATAACGGTACCGAAAATAACGGTCCGAAATCGATCATTTCAAACAGTTATTTTTGACTTTCATTTCAAATAAAATTCGCCCTGATCGATATTCTGCGCGAACAGCAATTTTATCTTGTAAAAAAACCTTGTTTCGTCGAAGATTGTTAGCCTTTAACGATTCTCAAAACTTATCTTCACGATCGTGTATAAAGTATAACGGAAACATAAGATCAGCCATCCACCGTGAGAAAATGGAGCATTTTAAGAACAATCCGATCTGGATAAAAGAATAAACTATAAAAAGCATAGGAACATTTAACGAAGACATCCAGCATGTCCCAAGCGGCACGAACGATTCGGATAATGTCTATTGCCTCTAAAAGTGAAATAAAATGCGCCCACGGTCGACGAAGCACGAGAAAGATTAAGAAGCAAAAGCAGTAAGGAGTGTCTGATTGCAGAAATTTCATTACGCTAAAGAGAGGGGATCCGACGCCGTAGACATTTTATGGTTCCGGTCGTAGATGAAAGCGTTAAGGCGAATGAAACTATTCGGACCGAAGATTCCGGGGCGATGAACATCGGGGCTCGAATTTATGGGGAGTTACAAATTCGCAACGCGCTGAAAAGTCTCGGTCCGATTAATAAAAATACCCGGGGGCCGGTATAACGGCACTCGAGGGAATCGCGGCGGCGAAGAGGTTCTCTTTAAACTCGAAACTCTCGCCGCGGCGTCTCGTCGGAGAGAATTTTCCGGCGGAAAAACGACGATTCCCGCCGGCAGACGACGACTTTTTGCCGGCAGGCTGACCGAAATCTTGGGGCGACTTCGATCCGGCCGATATTATTTCCCCAGGCTTAATCACCGGCGCGACCAACCGACCAATAAATCGTCCCTAATTGGGTTTAAGCGCCTCCCGGAATTATCTGTACCGGCACCGAAGTCTCTGGATTATCTCGCCGGGACCGGGAGAGTCTCTCGCGCCGACGATACTGCGCGTTCCCGCAGTCATAAATTAACTTTAATGCGTCTTGAGCGCCCGAACGATCTTTACTCGACACAGTTCGGCATATCCAGCACCTCGGTGTTCCGTGATTCGATCGACGCATAGTACGCCGAACACCGATCCCACCTGATAAATGATTCGCGCTCGCTATTGTTCACCTACTACTAGCGACTTCTTATTTCCGAAATTTCACTGGATCGTTACAGAGCACGGAGTAGTCGGGAATTGTCGGTGTTTTGTCGGAATACATCGGTAATTTGTAACCGAAACACGATTTATCAACTTTTGTGTTAATTTTCTACCACATTGTTACGACGATACAAAATTATGACGGCAACGAACTTGGTTCTTTTGGTTGGACTTTTTCTGAAATTCATGACCGTTCGTCATTGTATACGTAATTATTTACAATATTAGCAAATAATCACTGGTTTCCCGGGAAACCAGCCGAAAGTTTTCGATTCTGGGGACATTGAATTTTTGACCCCTAAAATCGCTGTTTGGCCCACTGTATATCACGGAACAGTTAATAGTTTCCAATAAACGTCTTCGCAGCATCTTTATGGCCCCTCGATTCCTCACGGTTTAATGTGTTTTTAAATCACCGACGATATATTTGCTCGATCGGTGTGGCCCGGAAATCCTCGATAAATTGTTTTAATTCGGATCTATGGCGGTATAAAGGAGAAAGATAATTTCAGCGACAATTTTGACGATATCGTTTACTCCGGTTATCGATATACGGTGTCACCAACGTGGATCAACGATCGCGAAATTACAATCGGAAACAGCTCGGAACTGTCTGCGAGAGGAGCCGCGAAATTGCTCGGTCGACCGACGCAGTAGATCGGCCGATAATTCCGGGAAGCCGTAGAATTAAATTCGATGCCAATAATTATGCAAATTACTTACTCCTACGAATCTGATTTCCGGCTAATATCCGATTTAAAAACGCATCGAATTTCACGCGCGCGCGCACCTCCTGATCCAGAAAAATTGATATTTGAATTGGAAGAACGAAAGGTCGGGATAGGCGATCGAGATACCGACGATCCCTGACGAATTTTATATTCCACGCGTTGGATCACGGTGGTCTCTCTCTCTCTCTCTTTCTCTCTCTCTCTCTCTCTCTCTCTATCTTGCTGCGACGAAAAATTGTAACCTTTCGTAAAACCGAATAATTTACGGTAAATGAAAGAATTTCGATGAAATGTTTAATATCCAAATACCCCGTGCTCTAGGACGTTCGAAAATTTAATATTAATACAAATTTGTACAAATATGTACATTATAGCATTCTGCTGTAATCATTAACTTTAAGTAATGTCAACATTCGCTCGATCGTACACACGGATGTTGTAGCAAACACAAATCGTTGTAGCATATTTTTCTTTTCGCATGATACGATGCAAAATAAACAAACATCGATGCGAAAATTAAACGGGCACGATGTTTCCAATAAATCTTGATTATCGGTGATCGAACAATTCACGCGTACTACTATTTGATGTCGTAGCACGCAAAAATCTACTACTTTCCTTTACCACATTGTTTCACCGATTTGTAACCAAGATAAGATGGGTTTAGCACTTCGACTGCTAATCTAGCAATCTCAAAAGTTGCATAAAATCAAAGTACTTTGTTTAACGAAATAAAAATAGAAAAATATAGACTTGGAGAACTCTTTCGATCTTTTTATATTTCGAAGGTCTTATTCGGAGTTGGCACATTGAATATTTTAGTGAAAAAATTCAGTTACAGAGGATTTATCCCGTCGATAAATGTGAAGTTATTACTTATTTTTAAATCTCGACAATTAATTTCTATATATGGCTGACGTGACATTCAAAGTGTTAATGACACACTACATTAACAAATAATAGTTGCAAACTGTGTAAATTTTATTAAGCCCTTGCACTATGATTTTTTCGTACTCGATCATTTTCCTGATAGAAAGAGACAATTTTTGTTCCTCGTATGTCTTCGTTTAAAAATCAAATTCTGTTTCGATATAGAAAAAGCGAATAACATTGATATTTAGAAGATTGTTTATGATTTCGGGTAGGATTTGTTCGAAATCAATAGTACGCTCGCGTGTCTTCGGACGAGTCGCGATGCAGCGAACGAGTTTTATTTTTCCTTTCGCCGTTTGCCCTGGTAAAATTCTTGAACAACCCTGATTGGTCAACCCCACGCGTTGGGCCTTTCCAATCAGCGTTGCTCATTTTGTCCTTTTTACCGCCCGCCCCTTACGCTCTTTGCGTATTTTCGGGACGGCGTGGTAATCGGAGTTGTACGTGACAACGTGTGGAACTTTTCCTCCGGGTCACCCGCGTCGGACCACATGGTCTTTGGGACATGGACGGTCTCTTTAGCTATTGAGGAATTTCTTAAAAGACTCTATCGCAAACATGTGCTATAAAGGTTTGGAACTTGTCTTCTCAAAAATAGCTTCTTCGAAGGAGAGTCATAAATTACGCTGGCCGTTTGCACGAGGACCGAAGATCTTATTGTGCGCACGACTGGTCGCTACAATGAAATCTTTATCTCGAATTTGTCTCGTTACAGTATAAGGGGTTAAATTAGGAACGATGTCTCATTCTTTATACATGAAATCTGACGACGTTAATTTCCTTTTAACAGTCGCGTAAAAACAAGTTTAAAAATGGAGTTTAGAAAAAAAATATTTGTTCGTTAACGCATCGAGCGCTGCGTCGGTCGCGTACATTATTACATTATGTAATATGTTCGAACAAACTGGATTTTGTTGGGATGCTTCGAACGGAAAAAGTTCAAATATAATCCACTATGATAAATGTCAACTTTCTAGTTTCAGTTTCATTAATCGAACTACGGTAAAGTCTCCTTAATTGACGCTCAGGTTGTATACAAAAGTGGAGAATTTTGTTTTTATAATTGTTGGCAATCGGTGACTATAAAAACTAGCCGCAAGGCTCGTCATATCCGCAATATTGGCAGCAAGACTAATCGTATCTCCTATTCTCAAATTGTCCATTTTTGTGCACAATCTGGGCGTCGATTACAGAGAATTTACTGTACTTGGATTTCGTGGAAATTATTGGGGTTGATTTTCGGCACTTAACGCGTCAAGGGGTTGATAAAACGTTTTCGCAATAAAAGATCAGCGACCGATGCTGGTAGCGAACGTGTTAACGGGAATGCAAGCGAAACGTTTAGCGTTTAGTCCGCGGCTCGCCGAAATATAATAATTTAGTCGACGATGCGGGAATCGTGTTTGCGAGTGTCGCGATCCTCTGTTGCTGTCGCAGTCCGGCGGCGAGTCGCGATTAAAGCGATTTCGAACGCGTCATAACGCGTCGACGGTTCGTGAGCGTAATAAATCCCATGGAGGCCGGTTCTATTGATTTCAGATAATGGGCAAGTGGTACGTGGTCGAAGTGTTGGAGCACAAAGCCGATCCGCAGAAGCCCGCCACCAAATCGTACATCGTCGATTCCTGTCCGATTGTTAAGCTGACGTCGCTCAAGTACTTCTCGCTGAAGCTGTACTGGACCGAGGAAGCTGGGAACCTCGAATACACTTTCCGGATACCGAACGAATCGAGGAATCCGGGTGTCTGGGTATCCAGCTCTCCGCAAAACGGTAAGAGATCCCGCTCGCTCGGATTATACCCTCGAGAGCCTGAGGAGAGGAGGGAACAGAGCGTTCAGGAAACGGGAATCGGGAATCGGAACCACTTCGAATACCGCGTATCCCCCCCCCCCCCGCGTCATATACGCTTCCAGCTCGACAAATTTTCCAAACCCGGAGCGAGTCATGGAAGGACCTCGTCGTACGTTTCATTCGATAGAATTTCTGCCGCGTGGAAATAAATTGATCGGGCCGATGCACAATGGCGTGGAAGCCCGTTTTTCTTGGCCAAAATATAATATTTTAAAGGGTCAAGCTTCGAAGAAATTTTTTCCATGCATCGATAATTGGCTGTCGCTCCAAAAACGCATGTCGTGTCTGAAACGTGAAATTTGGTTGAAAATCATGAAGTCGACGCGCGTTGCGGCTTCGGGGAGAACAGCTTGCGACAGTTTTGTCAAGAGTGCATCTAACAAGGAGAAGTTGTAATAGTACCATCCATAACACCAGCTGCAGGCGTTGTACCGCATACATTTCTACGAAACTTACAACTGCCTGACCTACCGAACAACACAACTATTATCTTCGTAATAGTCTATTTTTCATGACGAGCCGTCTCTACTAAAAAATGTTCGTCTTCCTCTAGAAAATCAGTTTAATAAATGCAAAATTTTATAAATAATGTTTGATACATCGTAATACGTAAAAAAATATAGACAGGCGATCGATAACAGAACGGATGGATGTCATTGCATTGAGAAATATTAACGGCCTAAATTAACTGAACTAAACATTTAGACCCAATGAGAACTGGCCATAGATCCATGTTTCATCACCTTTCATTACCTTTTTCACTATACAGTAAATTCTCTCTAATCGACGCTCAGATCGTACATAAAAATGGAAGAACAATGCCTTTTCATCGAGTCGATAATTCATGAATAATATAACCTTTCGGAGTCCCCCCATCGGGACATATGTCCATAATACACGAATATACCAATCTTAGAATGCACATCGCGCACATATTTGTTTACATGTAACCAATGGAACACATATGTCTCAGCCCTTAGCGTCTAAAAGCGATAACTTACGCTAATAAGATCAACATTTCTTGTTATTAGTATCTACATGTACGTAAAGCTTGACTTCAGATATAACGCAAATTAACGCGAAAAATAAATCCGACTACAAAGGGTTAAGGAGATTCCTGCTGTGTACGGAAAATTATCGCGATTATTGTACAAAACGACTGCCCTCCGGCGGTTTTGAACTTCGACGCCAGCATACATTTCCGTTTCCTGCATAGTTACCGATTGTCAACCACTATAAAAAAAATGAACCGCAAGGCTCGAATAATCGTATCTCCACTTCCGAAATCGTCCATTTTTGTGCACGTACCGAGCACAAAATGAGAATTTACCGTATTTCGTATATGGATTGATATAATAGTAGCAGGAATGCGATAAAAGAATTGGACAGCGAAAAGAACAGTTAATGGAAGAATCGTTCAACAAGTGTGAACATAAAGAACATCGTGCGAAAATGTCTGGTGGTTCGAGGTTTGCCCGGACCGAACTTCCAACTAATCAGGATCTTGTACGGACCTAATTCGGACGAGTTACTAGTAATCCCGGACTTACTCGGAACCAACTCGAGTCTAGCCCCCTGAACTTTGTTATGCCAGCTTTACGTCGCAAGTTCCGTATCAGTTGTATACCCTAGCCCGTCTGTATCAGTTTTAATCGTCGTCTCTTAACTTCGGTTCCACCCTGCCCGATTCTCATTGTTCTATCGCGTTCGTGCGACACATCGATCGCCTACCCAGCTAGGAACCGAAACCTACCCCCTGCCCCCTCCTGGCTCCGCCAGACAAATGGCAAACACGGTAGAAGCTCGATAGTCACAGCGAGAACGGAAACGGAAATGTATCCTGGCGTCGAAGTTCGAAACCGCCTGAAGGCAATCGTTTTCTGCAATAGTCGCGATAATTTTCCGTGCGCGGCAGGAATCTCCTTAAATCGTTCGTAAATTATCGACTCGATATTCTTCTGTTTCATCGAGATGCAATAGTCGCTCTCTCGTTGTTTTCTCAATCGAAAGTGCAATATATTTTCCTGGATATCGATGGAATATGAAACGAAGCGCACGAAAATACCACAGTACTATGTGCTGTATTCGATGAATTTTCCGATAGCCTGTGAAAATTCGGGGAGAAACTATGAAAAGAGCTGAAAGTAACGTTCACGTTTCGGTGAAATAATAGAATTAATTGAGCGGAGCGAGGAAATTCTCTTCGGAACAGAGAAGTCATTGTTCATTTCACCGGAATAGAAATTTTTCAGAGATTCGACACCGAAAGCGCAAAGTCGCAAATCGACGTGTGCCACGCGTGACTACCAAATAAATTCGGTGACTACCAACAAGTACCTCGTCGTTCTTCAACGAAAAGATATTGATCCGAAACGGAAGTTCTTTCAGAAGAATTTCGCGGTTCGCAGTCGTTCTTCTCGGTAGAAAGGAGACTTTGAAGAGCGGAAGAGGAGAGAACTCGGTGAACGAGCGCCTAACAGCAAGTCCCCTCTCATTCCGAGTCAAGAGGCGGTTAGATGGGCCCGTTTGACCAAATTTTTCCTTTCATTTGTTCCGTCGGAAGTTCGCCCGAAATTCATCGATTACGCGGCTCGGCGGCTTATGATAATCGCCTTTGAAAGAACTTGGAGCCCGGTGCTCGCAGTTATCGAGAGACCCCGTTCGTTAGTTTCTATGGAGAGGCAGAAACGGATCTCGAGGGGGCGGCGTAAGAAATCTTATTTTTGCAGGAGGCTTCAGAAATTCCAGAAGAATTATTCTTTCATATTCCGCGCGCGCGCGGTATTGTGCCGATCTTACGCTTCTTGGCGCGGATAGCAGCGACGATATCCACGGGATTAAGGATTGCAATTAGACGGACGCGAGCAGAAATCTTCTTCGGAGGAAATTCTGCACGGTTTCTGAATTTAACACACATTTTCGATCGGCACGAAATAAATTGAGCATTTCGCGGATCGTCGAATCGGTCGTATAAAAAATCTTCTTTCACGCCTGTGGCATTTGCCTTAGTTTTTCATTTGAAAAGAATCTTAAAGGTACGAATTCGGTTGGGAAACGAGCAAAGGCGAGGACTGAGATAGGAAATTTTTACGAAACCGTTCTGCACCATTCGAGATAGCCGATATAGTCCTCGGAGGCCGGGAATAGAATCGACTGGAGCGTGAATTGGTCGACTCCGTGGAACGATGATCGTCGTAGAGGAGCCGTTTCCACGGCGCTCGCCGTAAACGACCGCGTTATAAACGGTTAATTAACCGACCGGGGCCGAACAAAGTGGGAACAAGTCCCGGGTAATTAAAGTCGTAAGGTGGCCCCGAGGAGGATCTTAATGAATTCCAGGTATCCGGCGTGATTATCGGTTAACTGTCGGCGCGACGGGTCGTCGGTAGTCGCGTTGTCGAACTCGTCCCATCCAATTACGGACGCCGGGGCAACGTTGAACGGAAAGCGAAGGAGGAGGGCGGGGGCCAGGGCAAATCCGCGGGAAATCGACAACGCGACCGTCGACGCGGAAAATAATTTTTCAAAAGACCCGCTCGTCGTCCCTCCCGCTTTTTTAATCCCGCGACCCCATTCTTCTGGCCGGATGCCGCGAATACCCCACGCCATTGTGGCGCGTTTCGCCGCGCGGTTCGGGCTCTCTCGAAGTTCCTTTCAAGCTCGTTCCCGCCTCTATTCGACCCCGAACAGCCGAACGCGAGATTTTCGCAGCCTCGGATCGCATTCGGTACGCTGGCTTCGGTGCTCCACAACAAGACGCTCGTTCCGCGAGTTCCAGCTGCCGATCTATGCCACCGGCGCCGTGGAGGATGCCACTGGGCATTCAATTATTCGAAGAAGTGGCACCGCGACGCGTCGACCGGGCGATAAAACGAGGTCGCGAGGGTACCCTCCGAGTTTCCAGACTTCATGCTGATGAACGGAACGATAAGACACCGTCCCGTTCGCGCGAAATGTCTCCCCGAGGACTGCGGCATCGTGCTGCACCGGGGTATTGTGCGCTGGAATGACAAGTTGGCCAAGAAACATGGGCCTGATTGGTGTCCTCGTGATAATGCTAATAGGCTTGTACAATTTATTTGCTCCGTGTTCTTGTTCGTAACGCGATATTTCGGCCATCCGACATGGCAGCTACAAAGTTATAGCTAAAGTATAATTGCCTCTGTAGTATTCCACCGGCCAACTTGTCGTCCCTCCGCAACATCTGAGCCCGCATGTCCGACCCTGTGCACCCTGTATGCTTCCAACTGGATAGTGGGAGACCGCAGAAAATATGACCAGTGTGACTTCGGACACTTCGTTGGAGCGCGATCGAGGCTCTCCAATTGGCAGAGATCCAAACGACACTCGCCAGAAAAGATTGCAATTACAAAGTTTCGAGGACACGGATCATCCCTGGACCGAGGATCTTTATGCAAAATCAAAATTGTCAAAGTTAATTGCACCGATCGCGAATTAAATGATTTCCTCGTAATTAAATTTCTTCTTTCAATAATTCTAGGAAATGGAGAATAACGCGACAACGTGACAACGGAAGTTCTTCCGATCCGTTTTTACAGTTTTGTATTCGACCTCTGTCCATTTTTGCCATAAATGCGTAAAATCGACGCACAGTCTAGTCAGAAAAATTCTTCTTGCATTAAAATATGAAAACGGTTGAAAATACTCGTCCGAAAAGAATAGTTGTTCACCGAGTGTCATTGGCTTTCTCTAGTTACACGTCCGACAATTAAAACGGAATTTTATCATTGTCTCGCTTAGCTACGAAGAATATCGAAGGTCCGAAGCTTGCTCTCGGGTAAAAGTGCAAGCATACACGGAAATCTCATAAATCGATCGATGCTTCGAGTGGCTTGCGGACAAGCGAGAACAATTTTTAAAAAAATGTACTTCAGACATCTGTTGCATCGTGTCAAAAATGCTGTTTCGGCCGAACGAACGGAATGGAACGTTTGTCTCGTGCTTCTCGCTATTGCCGCGCGCGACCGAGTAACACACCGCGGTCGATTCTTTTAATGGTCTCGTTATTTGTACGTCGCGGGATACACGAGATTTCAATTAGAGCGGCTGAACAGAGCGAAGTAAAAGGATAAATTACAGACCGAATGTCGGCCGGTGAAAAAGTCAACGGGATATACGTGCATGGTTAAACGATTCGTTGGCCGAGCGCGGCACAACTCGAAAATGTTGGCCCTTGATCGGTATTTCGCGCGTTCGCGCGAACTGGATACAATTAATTTCATGCGATTAAACGTCAATATCGCCGAGCTAGTGCCCATTTACACAGGCGGAACGGGTTTAATGGACGGCGCTGTAATATTGCGACGACGCGCGTCCCGCGGACGTTATTGCGATTGGCACGTACCGGACGCGTGACATTCATTTTCCGTATCTAATATCGTTACGTTCCGCTCGCGTACGCGCCGACAGCAACAACGGCCGCGCAGAGTTTCCCGAAAAACGAACAACCGTCTCGTCCATATTTCTTCGGAGGCTCTCGAGGTTTCCCGACCGAGAACGACCGACGCGACTCGTGACCGCTGATTCGTGACGAACCCAAAGCGCGCGTAAACAGCACGTGTCGCGCCGCGCCATAATTCCGTCGCCGCGTATTCCTAATCAGCGACGTAAGTACATCGTCAACGACATAATGACGCGTAATGCGACGGATTTCCAACGGGAGACACGCCGCTATTCCCAGCCGCCTGGCAAACAATAATCAGTCCCCCGATTCGCTGATTTCCGGCGTGATTCGTCCTGAAACGCGCACAGCTTCGCGCTTCCAAATTATCCCGCGTCGGCCGACCAACGAACGTTACGCTGTTCGTGTTTGCAAGGAAGATTCAATTTCGGCGTAACATCGACGCGGAAGCTCGTAATGGAGCCGCGTTTACGACGATGCGTAGTCGTTCGAGCGTGGAATCGGTCTCGTTATCCGAAAGCGCAAACGTTCATCAATTTTCCACTTCCGGTTCCCATAAAACGTTCTCTCCTTGAATCGCGAACTTATAAATAAAGAAAAAATTTGCCGCGCGAAGCAAGCGGATGCCGACTATCGTGGCAGGAGCATCCATAGAAGTTCTACTTCGCGAACTTCCAAATGAAACCGTATCGCGAAAAGCTCTGAACTGTTACTATATCGTTGACAGGAACGCTGGTGAGCATGGCGGAGGGGCAGTACCAACAGTTCACCGGCACCGTGCACGTGATGAAGGCCGTGGCCTCGGACATGGTGCTAACTTTCTGCTCGGGACGCTCGGATAATCAGCTCTACTCTCTGCTGCTCGCGCGGGAGCATATCCTGCAGAAGAGCGACAAACGAGGCGTCCACAACCTGCTCGGTCGGCGTGGCTTGAAAATCACCAGCATTCGGGAGACCTGTATGAACAACGCGGCACGAACGGGGCCGTACTTCGACCTGACCGGCTGGGTGACACTTATGGGTGTCTTGTACACGAGCGTTCTCCTCGGCACGTGGTAGTGGTGATCGCCTAATGGCAACGGTTCTCGAGGCTTCGAGACGAAGAAGGCATGCTCGAGCAGGGCTCGGACGGCCGGGAGCAGTTTCCGGAGCTCGAGGGCCACGCGCGGAGCCAAAGTCGAGAGAGTGAGGGTAGCGGCGTTGCGTGGTTGGGTCTCGGTGAGAGCTTAGTCGAGTTGTAGGGGTCGCGAGACGGCATCGATCGGTGGCGGTGCTTCGCTGACGGTGTGCTCCGCCCACCGGCTCTTCCCACTGGCCCTCGGAAGGTGCGGCTTGCTCCGCTAGCCGCTTCTGGCCCGCGAGAGTCCCGATTCGAGCATGCCCGAATCGTGGGACGATCGTTAGCTGACCAGGCAAATCTGCAGACTGGTTTGCCCGATCGAGTGCGAAGATCATTAAACGGGTCACTCTACGAGAGAGCCTCGACTGTCTCGAGATGTTGATCGTGCTGAAAGGAAAGAAATAAAGAGGCAGGCGACTTCTGCCGGAAGAAGAGTAGTAGCATCTGTTACGAAGCGACAGACTCGTTTAACGACGTAGCCGATACCAGGAGCCCCGAGTCTCCTTTTGATCGCGAAAGAAAGCCCTTAATTGCCGACGCAGCTAACGATCCCGCGTCTCGTGTCCGATCCACGAGGCCGGCCCGAGTCCCCGACGCAATCGTAATAGGAATCTCGGTTCGGTTGTCCGACGAACGAACGAGAAACGCGAATCACGACGCTGGCAGCGTCCGCTGACTCTCACTCTTTCTCTCTCTCTCTCTCTCTCTCTCTCTCTCTCCCTCTCTTTCTTTCTCTTTCTCCTCTCTCTCTCTCTCTCTCTCTCTCTCTCTCTCGCTTTCTCTCACTCACATCCCGAAACGCAGGAAAGAAAACTCGAAAATCCGCGCTCCGACCACACCAGCTCGTCGCGAATTCCTGTTTCTCTGGATAATGCCGTTCCGCCGGGACCGATTCTGTTGGACAGTCCATGTGCCGTTTCGTTTCGTTTCGTCCCGTTTCGTCTCATCTCGTCTCGCCTGGAATCACGTAGATCTCGCGTCGTCCCAGTTCTCTCAATTGCCGCTATCGCGATACCATTTTTCCTCCTCGACGGAACGGTCCCCCGAGTTCCCTCGAATGAACAAACAGACATACTCGGGGCTCGACTAAACCGTGTATACCCGTAATAGTCGTGTCTCATTTCCCATGCAGAATCGAATTTGCGATTTCGCAGTGTTCAAGCTTCCGCGGACTCACTCTTTCAGTACCGGATCGTTGGCCAACTCAGCCGCGACTCTATCGTCTCGTGCGTTAACGCGTTCGTTGCCACCTTTTGCCACTCGGTGACAGTCTCCGTAATTATCGAGCAACTTGGTGCCACTAACATTCTCGTACGAGAGATTTATTTATCAAAATCTTGTAAATTGCAACGCGATCGAATTCTGTTCGATAGCGAACGTATTATCTGCTCTGAAGAATTTATCGTTCTATTTATATTTGCTGTAAATAAAGCCGACCGACTGTACCATAAATCCGCAGCGTTTTCCGAAACAATTTTTTACGGCATTGTGCACTGATAAAATGTATTGAGAAGAGATCGTAAATAGCGAAATGGAATACAGTTTACATTGAGTTGTTTATTTTCGGATCGAAAATGAAATGGTTGGGAATAAAGCTACGGATTTATTGTACAGCGTGAATTCTCCTGCCAGCGTTAGCCGACGCCGACACCTTTCCCTCGTCCCGTGATTCCTTAGCCGAAGAACAGGAACAGTACCGTCGCGGAGCGACACACATATCAGCGCGACGATCATTGTCAGAAGGGAGGAGAGTTCGTTGGGCGACGTTCGAACGGAGGGAAGAAAATAAAAGACGGGGGAGGAGTTCTGTCTGCGAAGCATCGGGGCTGAAAGAGTTGATCGCGGAGCACGCTCGTTCCTCCGGGAAACGATCCTCGCCCGGAAGGAAACGGGTCTACCGTGAACATTAGTCGCGTTAGATAGCATTGCATGTTGTATGTATCTCGGTTCGTGGATTTAAGAAGACAATAGCAGTGTCGAGACGATCGCGTTCTTCTACGGAGATCGATACAGTGTAGCCGATTATAAGAGATTCGTCCTACTAAACTTCGCGAACGAGCGGGAGGGAAAACGTTACACGGTGAAACCCGCGTTCCCCCTTTCCTCCGCGTGTCGATTCGAAAGCTAGAAGACGGTGGGATCGATCGTGAAGAAAATCGGCCCATAAAATGCACGACGGATTGCGGAAGCTTACGTGAACTTTCAATTTCGGAGTTTCGTTAAGCTTATGTTCGGGGATTAGTAAAGTTCCGCAATTTCGTTGAACTCTCAAACTCTCGGATTTTGGAGAAACTTCCCAGAAAAGTTGAAAAAGTGTTCGGAGCATGCCAACGATTGTACCACGATCTGTCCTGTGCGTCTCTCGATCTGTTTCCAGCTCGTTTAGGATAAAGAAGTTTCGACTTTCAACTGGTGGAAAGAGATCTCGCGACAGTGGATACCGATCGCGTCTACAATTTTCGTGGACAGTCCGAATAAGTTATCGAAGAACGCGATCGCGTAGAAGGACGCGGACACCTGCTCCTACATTTCCGTTGCGGATTCGCTGCGAAAATGTTCGATCGGGTTCGGCGGATACCACTGTCCCGATCTCTCCTCGTAAGCTACAATTATTGCGAGAGCTCCGTTCCGATGGAGTCCGGGGGGGAAAAAAAGGCGTTGTACGATTGTAAGATAATTCAACTTATCGTTAGATGTTATTCGTGTCGCAGACGAGAGCCCGTGCTCGTTCCGACGCGCGCGACCCAAACGTTTAATCGAATCGAGTAGCCGTGTCGTTGATTCAAATCGCACTCGCTTTCCAAATGGGAATTCACGCCGCTGATCGTATCCTTTTATACTTATCGAGATTCGTTGAGGCGATCTTTTTATATGGACCTTTCGATTCCGCCGGTTTTCCGTCTTCTCGTATGCATTTTTATACGAACCTACACGAAATTCGATTGCGAAACTTTTTCATGCTTGCCACTCTACCGTATTTTTGATCTAGACGGTTCTATTTCGCTACCGATTAGCGCACTACCTGTGGCCGTTATCCGTATATAATCGAAACACGACTGCCCGAAAAACGAACTAGCCGATGCAGTCTCGATTCGCCAACGGTAGTGACGAAGATCAAGCACTGGAACTCCGAATTGTACTACATGGCTCGAATAGTTTATCCACATTTACTGGGAATCGATCCAATATATCGTTACACATTGTTGTCAAAGTAATCCTCTTACATTTTCATTAGAATTGAACTCCGAACTTTTACTATGGTTTGATAAAACAAATTTATAAGTTTTCAAAATTGCTGGATTTTTAAGGATTTGGAGGGACTTTCAGAAAAAATTCTTTTTTTCAATCTCCTGATCCTCCTAATTATATATTATTATATTATTATATATATAATATATATCCATTTAAATGATTATGTAAATAAAAGATTGTTTGTTATACGAAGTTTAAATAAAAGAAAAGAATAATTACTTATTATTTATATATGTAGATCTAAATAAATTAATATTGAAACAACAAACTTTATTTCTTATTTATAAATACAATTTCGATCGTTACTTATTAATTATAGCCAGGAAATAACACATGTCGTAGACTGGAAATAAAGATCTTCAATCGCGCTAAGCGACATCATTGAGTTCACGAATGAAGACGCAAGTTTGTAAATAATAATGAATGGAAAATTATTAATTATTACACGATAGACGAAAAATAAACAAACATTGTTTATTATTTGTTTTTCCCAAAAATCAAAATAAAAAATAACATACTGTTTGCAATTATTTTCGAATGAAATATTCAAACACGACCACTCAATGATTCTCGGCAGCGGTGATCGAATAATTAGAGACTGTCAGAGTACAATTCCAAGTTCAACATTTATTTACAACCCCGCGAATAGTTGAACGAACCGCGAATCGAACTGCGCGGCCCACAGGTGGTATGATAAAATTTTTTATCGCGTGTTACGTACAATATTTACATTTCCTCGATGTCCGCGAAGGCGAGGAAACGCGTCCGAGCGTGCAAGCGAGTCGTTCGACGCGTTCCTCGGCCCGCAGCTTCTCGTGCCGATGCGATTAACCGATCAGAAACGAGTGAGGAAACGTTAAGGATTTGTTTGATGATTCGACGAAAGAGAAAACCCGATGTCCTGTATATATATCCTCGGATCGAATTGCCTGTTGCAGTCACAGCGCCCGACGAGTATTTTGAAAATGATGATATACATATAGGGAACTCGTTAAATTATTGTACACTCGACGGCAATCGCAAGAGGGTGCGCCATGTTATGTTTAAAATGCTCTAGAGTCTTTATTTATTGTACAGAATGCTCGATATATATATATAAATAAATCTATATATATATATATATATATATATATAATGATCTAGTACCTAATAATACGATGTAATCGTATGCTTATTATGTGTATAAATATGAAACAATAAAGAACGACTTGGACGGTTTTCAGGGATCTTTCTATTAACACTTTGCCGATCCTAATATTCTCAGTTCTCTACAGGGTGTTCCAAAAATGTCTCTTAATCAGGAAATCGGGGGTTCCCGAGGTCATTTGAAGCAACTTTTTCGTTAGCGAAAATGCAATCCACGGCTTCGTTTACGAGTTATTAACGAAAAACAGTGACCAATGACAGGCAAGATCAGTTGGCGCGAGGAGGCTGAGCCAATGAGTGGAACTGGCAATTTTTAGTTTCAGTAGAAAACTTGTTTCTACGATGCGGTGATAATCCTTAAGCGAATTCATCGGCGACCGTAATCCCAGTGGACGTGTTGAAAAACGAACCCGAATTCCGGCATGTACGAAAATATGAACACGTTTCAGCAGCCGTCACTTTGAAAACGACAGCGTAAAGCTGCCGTGCGACGATAAAGATGAAACTAACAAGAACACATTAGCGCGTGAGCACTGAATACTAAAAAGTTCTCGGAGAATCAAGGGGTGGAAAGTCCCTCGACGTTTTACGTAACGCGTGTACATAGCCGAGCGAAGCTATTCCTTCGACGAAAGACGTAATCGCAGGTGCCACCGGATTAACCTGCAACGTTGCTGCCTGTTCGAATTAGATAATTGGCAAACAGGGCATGGACTATCCAGGAAGACCGATAATTAAGGTCAATTTCGCAATTAACCCCGTCCACCTCCGCCACGTGAACGCCTACGATCGAACAGTGGGGGAAAAAAGTATGTACTGGTACACTCGTCTAAACCTGTCGCATCTATCAGGGACATTAGACATTGTGTAGAGAATTACAGATGCACGAGAAACATCGTTTTAGCAGGACGGTGTGCTGCAAGGGATGCTGAATTTATTTAAGCGTTGCACAATTTTCCTTATAGCGTGCGCTGCAATCAGTTGAGAAGTATCTTCGTAATTTCAGTAATTATAAAATAGGAAATCGGACACCGTCGGTTTCAACGGCAGTAGTCGGTTCAGTGTTGAACAACGCTGGAATAAAGACGTTGCGGCGAACCCGCAACGTGGAGGGAAGAAATTTTCGGACGCTGAAATTCTAGTAGCATCAAATTGTTTCTAGCAACCGCCGTCTCTATTTTGCTCGTTGAACCCAATATCGAAGCGTGTGCGTGTATCCTATTATTCTTAAAAACATGTAATATAAATGTATAAGTAACCCATGAATTACTATTTAAGGTTTCTAATCAAGTGCATTCACTTTATCGTATACAGAATAAATCTCATCTGAGATTTGGAAGCTTGTAATAAAAAAAAACCAATTCCTTATTATTCTACGATATGCACAATGTTCTTTTTTACATGATTATTTTCTGGAACGGATCTACCGTGTAAAAACAGAACTGATTGTACCCCAACATCCACAAGTGCCACAAAACGATCTACAAAACCTAATTACGTCCTCCTGTGCACCTGCTTTTTTTCAGGCAAGCCGCCTTCCTTAAATTTCCCGACGCGACGAGTGTACGACCGGCGAGAACGTCATGAATGTCGTAATTAAAGCGAGCAATTAGGCCTTGTCCGGGCGCAACGAGCCAGGAAGAGGATCGTCAGAGAGTCGCGATTTAATTCGGGCGCGCGAATCCGAAGAAAATAGGGAAGAAATCGGATCGGGGATGCAATCCTCCGGTTGATGCCACGGCAGAGAGAGAGAGAGAGAGAGAGAGAGAGAGAGAGAATAGATTAGAAAGCGCGGCGCTTTTGTCGTGAGAGGCCCGCGACTCCGCGGCTCCAAAGAAAGCTCTCTGTCCGCCGAGTTTCGTTCGCGCAGCCCACCCATCCCTGATCGTCCCCTTTCATCTCCATCTCGAGCACACCCCCCGCCCAGTTCCGGCAGTTTCTTCGGATATCTGGCCGTTTCATCCGGCAGTCGTCTTCGAGTATTCTTCTGTCGAGCCCGGCCCTCTCGCGCCTCTCTCCCCCGCCGCTCGTTCAGACTCGATTTTCCTTAACAATTTCCCCTGCCCCTCGCGGAACGAAGCGCGGTATAAGCCGACGGTCAAAGGAATTCCGCACAAAGGGCCGTCGCACAACGCCGAGCCGACGCGGCGAGCGCGCAGTCGAAAAGTTTCGAGCTCGACTTCGAGCGTCGCCGGACCGGAAGCGCCATCCGCAGCCCTCACGGCAAACACCACCGGGTAATCCGGTTAACAGGAACCAAGAGAACTTGCGGTCCGTGTCCGGTGTCTCCTGTGATGCGCGCCTAGCCGCAGAAGTCGATATCGTTATCATTTTCGGGTACCGTTTGCTGCGCTACGATTGTGTCTAGAGCCAATGGGCATGCAGGAACCTAACCGGAAGCTTTCGAATCTTGCGGCGGAGATAGAAACGTCTACAATGACAGCTTTCGAACGATCAGATAAAATAGGGAGAGTAGAAACCACGAAATATAGATATTATTACGTGGATGCGGGAAAAATAAGAAACTCTCGTTTTTTAACTTTCTTATCCGAGCTTGTAACGAAAATTTAAGAAACGTCTTTCGTAGATCTCGGTAACTTATACACATGTTGGAAATTTGATCGAAATCGGTTCTCGTTGCGACGAGTTAGAATTGTGACCGTTCGTTGCAAGGA